AGTACGATATTCTATTACTGTAGAAAACCGTTAACATACATCTCTATAACAATATAAGATAGGCAGTTTTTCTATCAGACGAAAAAAAATAAAAGTCTGACTGGCCCCAAGGATCACCCCAGGCGTGACGGTTCGGAGTGGCAATTTACCTTCAACTTTCAAGGCCCCTTCTTTGAACGTGTGAAATGGGCCTTCAAGGTAAATTGGAGGTGACAGCCGCCACTCAAATCCAAATCCGGAACCGGATCGCGGCAGATCTTTGCATGGTAACCACCTGTAACAGCCTGTAACCACGGCTCGTTGACACTTACAGTGTCACCGGAAGTGCCTAAGCATCATACATACAGACAGTAAGAAAGTCAGTCGTCTATGAGCAGGTCCACACCTACCGTACTGTCGTTTGTTTTCTCTATCGCTGTCTGCTGCCAAATACTCATGAAATAAACTGTACATAATTGATACATCTACAAAAACGACAGTGTCTAAGATAGTCAGTGTCCAAGGTACAAAAGTCCACGAAATGAGAAAGGAGGTTCTAGAATGTTGTGCAAGATGCCCTCCTCGGACCCCTATGTTCCTCTATACGAGCCCCTGGGCCACTCGCCGTCGGACCACCATATTGCGCTTGCAGTGGTTGGTAATAACCCGATTGAGGGTTGGCTGCAGCCTGACCATCTGCTCGGGGTGCTGGCTGCGTTGGTGGATAGGGGGGATGCACACGAGCGAGTCCACTATTCCGAGCTACTTCCTGCACCGATGGATGGGACAGATCGGCACGAGGAGGGGGTAATGTCGACACGGTCGTATGCCTGGGGTGGTAGATTCGTTGGTTGATCCAATTGCGCCACCACCAATAACGAGAACCTCCCCGCGGTTTGGATGGCTCGTGAGCGGGAGATGGCGATCATCTCTTGGCATCTGAATGCACAGGTCATTTTTTGCCTGCTCAGAGTCCGACAAAGGGAGTGATAGCCAGCTGCACGGGGGACTCATCAGGTACCCTCGTCCACGCCATGGGAACAGAAACACAATTACTCAATATTCTCCGCCAAGTCTCCCCAATTGGCACGCATCCACTGGCTATCAACCAAACGCCTCCTGAAATCCCTATGACGTTGCAAGATTCATGCAGCCAGGACCCTTTCCTTGGCTGAAAGCTCCAACTCAGGCATATCCATCATCTTCGTCAACGCAGAAGGCCTAGAAGCGCCTGCGCTCGAAGGCGACACACTCAAACTCCCCGCGCCGCCCATCCAAGGAAACAAAATGCTCGTGGCTGCAGAAACAGATGCCTGGACAATGGAAGAAGACATACTCGGTTCCTTTGGATGCTGTTCGACCGTGAACCTCCAAAAGGAGAGCATACCATCCGCAAAATTGAAGTCCTAAGACGCTGTCAGAACCTGCAAAACTCGAGGGATTAACACGACGGTACCTGAGAGATCCGGTGGTTGACTTGCGAAATGAATCCTTCACCGCCGTATGTGAAATTACAATATGAAACCACCCATTGACGCTCTTCGTGACCTGCGCAGGTGCATCCGAAAAGCTCTGCGGCGGCAGCGTAATCACAGTTGCCGTATACGATACGTAGGCAACAGCGTCATCCCCATGTTCAAAGCACTCAGCGTCGTCGGAGGCCAGGCGAAAGACGCGGTGGATGAGGCAGGGATGGTGTGGTGTTCCGGTTTGCCATGGTAAATACGCGGAGAAGGATCTGGCGGGGAGGAGAGGGAGCTGAGGCTACGCGTGGATCGGTGAGGATCCACCCGTTGGGGTGGCCGAGTTGGTAGGACTGGCAAAGGGAGGCTTCAATATTTCCTGACACTTGTGATGCTCCCATCTAGTAAGTGGTTTTAATGTCAGCCTCGCTCGTAATGGAGGGGAAGGGGGAAAGAAAAACCAACCTTCCAAGTCCAGGAAAACCAATCACCAAGCGCGTGAAATTGAGCCTCAATAAAATTCTGTATGCCGGCTTTCATAGCGGCACTATAACTCACCCAATCATCGTGCGTCGTATCACATCTCAGCGTTGGTGGAACCGTCACCAATGAAGACGGTCACTGAGGAGGGAAGATATGTGTGGGAGGTATTGCCTCAACACTTCGACACTTGCACCATGGCCTGGAAAGAGAATATTGAGTAAAATTATCATGAAGTCGATGGAGATCAGCAACTGACCTCATCGATATCGCATAGCACGACTTGTACAACGGTATCGTGCTTCATAATCCTCCATCGCCACCGCCAATGACGATCACTTCTTAGGGTTGGGATGGCTCGCGAGCAGGAGATGGATGATCATCGACATCCCTTGGTATCTGAATGTGCAGGTCATTTTTCCCTACTCAACATTGGACACAGAAAGCTCACTTACGAGAATTCAGCCTCAGGTACACTGAATAGCACCATCAAAAACAAAAATGTTTCTATAAGCCCCCGATTCGAAAAGCAGACCATCATCCGGCCAAACAATTCACCCACAATCCCAGCCACATTTTCCGCGTCCCACCCGTCGTCTTGGCCCGGTTTGTCTGCAGTGACAGTGCTGACAATGCCCGTTGTGCTTCACTATCAACACACTTGTCGTCATTGATGGTTCAGAGGGGAAGGAGGAGGTAAAAGTGTTGCATGAGCTGTCGAAGAACGTCGTGGTTTGGGCGGTTACTAGAACTTGAACACGTCACGCGACATCCGGGCACCGTCCGTTCCACCACACATGATATTCATTGTCAATCAGTATCACTACGTCGCCTCTCTGAGGTCAAAAAACACTTACATTGGCATTCCAGACGGCCCTGGAGCATATTCGTGGTTTTATATTACAGCTCTACTGTCAGGGGAAAGTGCGATTAAAAATCAGACGGTGAGCAACGTTACTCACTTGTTTGGCTACTTACATTTACTTTAGTTCCTCTTTACAATGTAGCACGAACGTCCCAAACAACCCATCCACCACTCGCTCGAACTCACAACCTCACTCAGACGCGCTCTCAGTCAGTCACTCCAACACGCTCACAAACTCTCTCCAAAATGCAGGATCTTCAAGCAGCCTTCTGCACATTCCACATCCCACCCGGACAATTAGGGCCTCCTCTCCCGATGCCTCACACCAACGCACGACCACGCCGCAACTCATACAGCGCAAATGTCAACGCTAGCTTACCAACTCCCTCCAGGCCCAGCCGGTCGCCCAGACACCCCGCATACGAGTGTTTGAGGGAGTGCATGTCGTTTTGGGAGCAGAGGATCGTTTGGGGGGATCACGATGCGTTTCAGTGGGTTCTTTCTTTGCTTAGCTTGATGAACGGGTGTTGACGGGGGGAAATGTGTAGGCACGTTAGCCTTTTATTGTTACAAAGAGAGTCGAAGAGGCTGATGCGTAGAGGGTAGTTAGGTTCTTTGAGTAGGTGCGCATTTATTCGCTTTTTTCGATCTTTTAGGCTGACCATTACAGGCACGCATAGAATGGATGATGTCGCTAGGCGACGAACTCGGTGGTCCTGAACGCGCAAAAGCAATGATCAACGCACAGGGATTTTCCCCGCGTCATTGACATCCTCGACTATCTGACGAGAACCGCACTCGAGCCCATTTGGGCTTGGCCGCGAGGCGGAATATCTGAGCTCGAAAAAACGACGTCAGGCGGGAAAGACCTTGCAACCCTCCTCAGTACGTCTAGCCTTCGACGACCCCCTTTAGATTTCAATGTTTTCCCATTTCAGTCAACCTCAATCAGCTCGCGGGCGACGACGATAGAATGCCCGATGAGGTTGTTATTGCTAACATGAGGTTTGCTTGACGTCTTTGGGATATAAAGCTGTTTTAAACGCTCTTGCAGCTCCATTGTCTAAGAAACGACATCAGGCGCTCTGTCTCGGCTCCTGTGTTCGATGGCCAACGATAATGACATGCAAAATCGTCTGCGCAAAGAACTCTTTGATACTCACGCTGTAAGCGATATCAAGTTTGTTTCGACACGCTAATATTGACCCGTGTTACCCTATAGACCAAGGGCAATGAAGGGTTTAACAATAATGAATCAAATGAACTCCCTCTCCTGGATGCGGTGCGCCGTGAAGCCCTCCATCTCTTCGCGCCGGTTACTTTTGTATGAAGACAGTAAGTCGTTGGTCTATTCAACCATCGAAAGTAGCCTTTCTGAATATTACGCACGTCGCTTCAGGACGATTGAATATTGCCTCATCCCTCTCCATTTCCCCATCCACGACTCCAAGACTGTTGTAGAAACCAAGGAGCTCCTGATCACAAAAGGGACCTCGCTGTATGTTGGCTTGGGCGTCGCCAATCGATCTGCTGCGATTTGGGGGCCTGACGCCAGTGAACTGTGGCTCGGGAAAGCAGGTTTGGATGGTACCGCGAACAGTGTGAAGATGCCTGGTATCTTTTCCAATGCGTGATTGGCTATCTCATCATCCATTACAAGTAGATGAGCTCAATTATGTCCCTTTCCTAGCATGACATTCTTGGGCGGCGGTAGAGCTTGCCCGTAAGTGGCTTATCCAGTTGTGAACCCATGAAATTTGTTCGCTTTGCTAGAAATCAGTCAGTTACTTCCTCTCCTCACTCGCGTAATGTGATTTGACTATGATCATGCATTAATTAGAACTGGTGTTGTCCGTCATCCTGCCCCACTTCTCGTTTGAAGCGGTTACCGAAGAAATTGAATGGCGGCTTCGTATCACAGTCATGCCTTATGCCAAGGGTAAAGTGGGCGAAGATCCGAAGGCCCCAATGAGAATCGGGGCCATCTAGCTGTTCTTTTTGCGCAATTGGAGACTGTATCTTGAGTATACATACTCAACTTTGATTATTTATCACCAAATGGGCCTTCACGCAAATCGACGATTTTGAGTGGGGGTGCCAATGAATGAAGACATGGAAAAGGCTGTCACCTTGCAAACCTTCTCGAAAGGAGTCTCTAGGTATGCTGGTTTGAGCGCTTTATGTCCGACCTTACGGCACCATGACCACCTAATATGAAGCACCGCTAGCTTTGACCAAGCATGAAATGTACCAAGCGGTTCCTCAACGAAAAGGTATCATCATGTTGTCAGCTGTAACCTATTGAACAGTACTATTTTTACATAACCGGCAGTCAAACCGGCAACAACAGCGACTGGAAGAGGGTAGTAAGTGGAACTGGCTTCATTGACGGTAGAACTGACTATCGTGAATGGAACCGCCTAAAGATCTCGATCGTTGGATATAAATGGATAAGCGGGTCAGGGCCCAGGCCTTGAAGGCCCATTACTCCCTATCAAAAGAATAGGCCTTTGAGGCCTTCGGGGGACGTAAAAGATGGCGCCTTAGGTGCGGACTTGCCAGTCATTGAAGCACTTGACGTTGACAAGCGATTCTGGAATGATGTGAGTCCCCTTGGTGAGATATCATAGTGGAGTCGATACAATGGCTTATCTCAAGCATGCTGTTCGTTCAGAACCGGGAATCTTCGCTCACACATTTCCTAAATTTGTTTAACCGTCTTGAGTACATCGCTAACTTTGTTGATTCAAACTTCATTGATCCAGACAATTGCCAACAAGCTAGAAGCTCTAGAACTTGAAGAAGAACGAATACCAGCTAAAGGCTTCTTCGACTCCCAAGAAGACATGGTGCGCACACTTTTTCTTTTCTCAACTACTGTCTTCACCCAACTCAACTCCTTCATCAGCTCAACTTGGACGATGAACGCGAAGCAGCTGCAGCCAGCATCACGCTCTCATAAATTTCAATCGCACATCATCAAAAAGTCGAAGAAGAATCAATTAAGACCACCACGTACCGCTGGCCTGCGAACGCTCTCAGAGCTCACGCAAGAGTTGACCAAAGCTGGGTTGGATCCGAGCAGTGTCCAGGAATGTGCGGATGAGCGGAGATGCTTGCTAGAATCCAGGGTGCCAAGCGGAAAGTCTCCGGAAAGGTCTATGCTGGTCTATGCTTTGTCGGTCGCGGTACCAATGGACTACAGCCCAGCCTGCCCTAGTACAGGCCACTGGCGAAAGTGACCCATAGGCTGTTTAGGACCGCTGTTGTCTATCATCCCGGACTCAGCTGTAATAGTTCATTTATATCCGAGAACGAATGCCATTTTACAATAAATTCAATGGATGGTAGCTCTACGGCTCTACTGAACCAGCGGATAGTGGCTGATTTGATTATCAGTCTTCACTTTAACCTCCCTCGCTCCACTAATCATCAAAGCCTTCGTGCATAGTATTGTTGGATTTGATCGCGATGGATCCGGACTGCTTGGTATTTGATAGCTGCATTTTGATTTTTTTTGTTTCTTGTTACGTGATTACCATTTGATATTCTGATAGGTGGCTGTCCTGCAATTTGCGGATATATGGTTCTATCCTCTTCAGTAAGTTCCGATGTTGAAGGGAGAAGTGTTCCATGTGCTTTTGAGCCGTCAAAGGACCTATACAAAAGTTTTGAAGTTATATCAATTTGAAAAAAAAAAAAAACATTATGGACCCACCACAAGGAACCTGTTCGTGACACAAAGTATAATCCATAGTCCGCGAAAATAAATGAATATTCAAAGAACTTTGAGATTGCTTGAAGTTGATATTGTGCACAGAGACCGCGTGTTGCATCATCATCACAGTGCAGTGGACTTGTGTAGTTATTGCAGCTGTAGAGTGTTGCACCAGAGGTGCCAAGTCGATCTCCAGCAGCTGAGGCTTCCTTTAACTCCTGGTAAAGAGGATGATGAAAAAGCCGTGCAATCTCAGACATGACCATAGAATCCTGCTAATTTTTAGATTCAATATATAAATCACAAATAAAAGCATACCTCTGCTGAGTTGAAGAGTGCATTTATATCTTCCTGGGTGATTGCCTCCATGCCTGCATAAAAAGTGTAACTGTCTCCAGATGCACCACCCATTGCAGCTCTTGAACCATGGCCCATCATTTTACCCATACTATATGATTCAAATTTCTTTCCCCGGTTGATTTTTTTCACATTGCTAAGCTTGGAATGATGGTCCACTAATTGGCAAAGAGTGTCTTTGTCAAAAGCATTGTATACCCAAAAATCAAGCTATAATATTATGGTCAGATTTTCTTTTTCTTGACTAATAATCTCTTACCGTTTCTTCACTTGTCTTATCACACATCAGAAAAACTTGAAGCCCACATCTTTCAATTATCTGGAGGTTAGGCTCAATTCTGACAAGTTTCAAACATGGATCCTCAGGCTTCAGGATTGGTTTAGGTTGTGAACCAGGTTTTGCATGTGGGTTCTAAAAACAATTCAAAATAAATAGTTCAAAATTTATAAATTTGATATACCTTTAATGGTTCAAGTTGAATCTCAGGAGGTGCTAGAGAAACACCACACCCGATCACCGATGGATCAACCACTTTGGAAGAATCAACATAAATGGTTTGAATGCACTGTTCTTCCACTGGTAGATTGTTGCATGTTTTGCAAGGTGAATTCAGTCCCTAATTGAAACAATTCAGAAAAAAGCAAGATATGAAAACTAATGCCAACCTGTCGATTTTGTAGAACATGCCCAGAAATCTTCTTTCTTAATTGAAGAAAATCAAGAGTTCGCTGAAATATAAGTTTCAGAATGGGATCGGTTTTGTTGTTGTTGTTGTTTTGGTGTTGCATGATATTTTGAATATGTGTCAATGCATCACGATAAATTTGTTCATTGGTATCTGGGTTGGTCAGAGAGGTTGTCTAGAGAAGATCAGTTACATGATAAATTATAATCAATAGCACTTACATCATATTGTTTGGCTTCTAGTGCATAACCTAGCCAATATTTGATTGCAAATTGGAAGTTTCTGAGATTAAGGAATGAGTAAACTGAAGATGGATATGCATCTCTGGGAATCATGTCAGGATATTTCAAAAGAGCTCTGATAAGCTCTTTTCCTGTAGACACTTTACTCCAGGTTGGTTTTGTCTGGGTGGAGTTATATAGAAAGCACCTCTCTAATTAAATAAAAATATACTTTGAGTACAGGATAGTCAACTGTGCTTTCTTCCCAGGCGTTTTTTTCTTCAATAGGAATCCAGGAGTGTATCACAAGACTTAGAGTTTCTGAGATGCGATTTTTGCGGAATAGTTTTTTGACAAAATCTGCTTTCCACAAGGCTAGTCCTCTTGGATCACTCCACTGATGAACACTCTGTGGAAGATTTGAAGCCTAAAAAAAGGTTAACTAAGCTGGGAAATAAAAATAAGTTCTACCTTGACAGTCTGAATCCATTCAGGCATTTGATAAACTGA